CGTCATGGGTAGCTTGCCAGGCTTTGCTATGTGGGCGAAATACTTTTGGTAACTTGCCAGGCTCTCCGAGAGGGGCGGAGGAATCGAACCTGGTTTGGCCCGGCCAGCTGCGTGCAAGGCAAACACTCTACTGCTGTGCTATCACTCCACAGCTGAAAGTTATAAAATGCCTGGAAGATGCTATATAGAAATGACTGGGTGATCTTTCATATGCTGATTATTTTTTCGATAAAATAACAAAGATCCAATACATGAAAGAAATCATTGATGATCTGGACTTTCTTTAATAATTAGAAACATCTGTTCTGTGAAAGACTGTGTCAGGGACATGAAAAGACAAATCCCAGGCTGGGAAATACTAGCAAAAGACACAGAATAAAGGACTATTGTGCAAAATATACGTAAAGAACTCTTAAAACTCAATGGTGAGAAAATTAACAATTCAACTTAAAAAAATAGGTGCGGGAGCTGAACAAACACCTTATCCTAGAAGATTTATGACAAAAAAAAATATAGTAAAGACAGAAATAAATACATAAATCACCCTGGGGGGGGGGGGGGGAAGAAGGTCTATGGCACTGAGTAAGATATAAAAAAAACCTCTTAGAAGTGCTTAGAAATGCAGTAATGAGAAGCACATACATCTGTTAGAACATCCCAAATCCCAACCTGGTGACATTGGTGGGGATGTAAAACTGCATTGTCACTTTGGAAGACTGGCACACAGGGCCACCTCTGCTCAACTCCACTCTAGTCTGTAACGTTTCACATTTGACAAAGAGTACCTATTCGCTTATGAAAATAAGGCATAGAGGGAGCTTATTCTTAAGCTAAACATGTTCCTGCCATATGATCCAGCAATCACGCTTCCTGGTATTTGCCCAAATAAACTAAAAACGTATGTCCGCACGAGTGCCTGCCCATGAATGTTCATAGCAGCTTTATTCATAATTGCTCAAAATTATAAGCAACCATGACATCCTTCAGTAGGTGACTGGATAAGTGGGTACATCCAGACAATGGAATATTATTCACTGCTTAAAATAAATGAGGAAAATACCTGGGGGGGACCTTAAATGCAAACTGTTTAAGTGAAAGCTGACCTAAACAGCTACATACTGTTATAGCTCCAGCTAGAAGGCATTTTGGGAGGAATGGGGAGAATGGGAACAAAACTACAAGGAGCTAGAGAGATAGTTCATGAATTAAGGCTCTTTTATTTTTTATTATTTTTTTAAATCACCATACAGTTACAAAACTTTCATGTACAAGATTCAGCCGTACAATGATCGAACACCCATCCCTCCACCAATGCACACTTTTCACCACTAGTGTCCCCAGTATATTCTACCCTCCCATCCCAGTCTTCACCTTGCCTCCATGGCAGGCAATTTCCAAAATACTCTCTTTCTACTTTGGAGCATTATGTTTTGCTCAAAATTTCCCACCATCACTCAAGTCTACCTGCTAGGGGCAGATGCTAGGTCATTTATTGTCCATTGATCATTTTTTAAATCTTGGCTGCTGCGACTGCGCACTTCTGAACCCTAGATTATAGATGGTCGGGTTCCAGAGACATTTCTGTAGGGAACTAATCCACTTTGGGATTCAGTTGGACATCGCTGGACCAGGGCTGTTGATGTGCTAAAATGACGCCCGGATACACATTTGTGGACTGACAACCAGACCAACAAGCAGGCAGGGAGCTGAGGAGAGACAGCCTCATGCCTCTGCCACCATGTGGCATGGAAATTTAATCCTGGAACCCACATACCTAGGCCTTGCTGGTGGAAGCTCTTAGTCAACGGGATTTCATTTGGAGTAGGCGGGGAGACTGCATCTGCTCCATCTGTGGTGTCTTGGTGAAATTGACTGTGTATGGGGCCCAGAGAGGTCTCCGGTTCTGTGGTATCTTCCAGTACTCGCTGCTGTGTCTCTGGCTTTTGATCTCTATTGAGATTTATTTGTGGGTCTCTAATGCAAGGCCAGTAATAGAGTTTACAGGGTGGTGCTGGAGTTGGTTCGTGGGAGTGACTTCCAGTACTTCCATGTGTATTGGGATGTAGGGAGAGGTAGCCTACCCCAACTCGTGAAAACCTGGAGATTTCAGTCTCACATACATACTTGAATTTTCACCAGATTATATCTTGGTGAGGTCCGTCCTGAGACAGTAGTGTCAGGCCGGGTGTATGGTGATAATTTTGAATTGTGGAAGCAAGTGACTGCTGGGGGCTCTGCTTGGGCAGGCACAGGCCAACCTGACCCCTCCGATTTACCCCAGTCTGTTGAGCCATGCTCAGTTCCGAGATTAACTGTGGCTTATTGTCTCTTTCGAGATTTATGAGTCTCTGAAATAAGACCAATAAATGAGTTTGTATAGCTGAGCCGGAGGTGGTTTGTGGGCATGGCTCCGACATACCTAACTTTTGGCTGTTTAATTTCTTGGTAAACTTGGTCCCACATTGCTGGGGTCTGGCCAAAGGCACAGTGGAAATTTTGGGGTGTCAGGAAGCCTGAAAGCACCATCAGGCTGCTGATGCACTCGCTCGCACTTACAGGTTGACCTGCTGACAGCATTGTACCTTGAAGGCTTTTTTCTTGCATGCAGTCTACCCCAATTTGATCCCTGTCATCACACATAGTCCCCTACACCCCTCCAGGAGTGATCTTGAGCCGGTGTAAGCCATGAACATAGGAGCTGGAGCCCAATCTTCCCCTCCTTTAATTTTTCATATAAATAAAACTATGAAGAGGTTAAAAGAATTAGTGGTCTGTTCAGGGATGAATTAGTAGAGTACAAGACATTTAGGGCGGTAAAATTGTGTGATACTACAAGGGTGGAGCTACATAATAATTCCTTTATCAAAAGCCAAAAAGTAGAGCATCAACTGAACCCAAATGCTGGGATTGAAGCAATGACATGTTGGTATTAGTACATAAGTTTAACAAATGGACTGCCATGGGTCAGCATGGTGCTAGCTGGAGAGATTGTGTGTATGGGAGAGGGAATTTATGTTATTACACTCTATATTGTTGTGAACCTAAAACTACCTTTACAAAACTACTTTCTGTACTTGTTGTTTTTGTTTTGGGCCACCTTTGGACCAAAACAAAGTGCTTGTTGGCTACTCATGGTTTGGTGCTTAGAGGTCACTCCCAGCAGTGCTCAGGAGACCATGAGGTACTGGGAATCAAATTTGGGTCTCCTGCATATAAAGTATGCACACTTCAGCCTTTGAATTATCTCCCAGCCCTATTTTATTTTTTAAAACAAGTAGTTAGGGGCCGGAGCGATAGCACAGCAGGTAAGGCATTTGCCTTGTATGCGGCCAACCCAGGTTCGATCCCCAACATCTCATATGGTCCCCCAAGCACTGCCAGGAGTAATTCCTGAGTGCAAAGCCAGGAGTAACCCCTGAGCATCGTGGGGTGTGTCCCAGAAAAAAAAAACCAAATAAAATAAGTACTTAATAGATATGACATAATTTTGTGTATATTAAAACATATACAGGGCATTAGTTCTATTAGCAGTGTATTCCTGATACATATAGATGTGTGTATGTGTGTTTATGTTTGCTCATATGAATCTATCTTTGTACATAACAAACTGTGATATTAGAGCTAAATCTGGGGAAAGGCAGAGACATCCTCTCTGGCCTGCCACATTTTCACTTTCAATAAAGTAACTGTTCCCTTAGGTGAGTACAGTTGACCTTTGATCAACTTGGAGGTTAGGACACCAACCCCCATAAAGTGGAAAATCCAAGCATAAATTTTTGAATTTCTAAAACCTTAACTACTACATAGCTTACTGTTGACCAGGGACTCACCTATAACATAAATCACAGGTGTGGTTTATGCCTTGTACGGTGTATGGATGTTGCATACCATATTCTTACACTAAAGAAAGCTAGAGAAAAGAAAATACTAAGGGAAAAAATTCTGTATGTTTACCTTGTCTGTTTACAAGAAAATTCTCACAGAACAGGGTGCATGCAGTTCAGACCATGTTGACCCAGGGTCAACTCTGAGGTCAAAGCAAAAAGAGCTGTTTTCAGACATATGTCTCTGGATCCTCTTCCTATACGCTCTTCCTTCTTTCTTTACTTTGCTTTGCTTCCCTCTTTTTCTTTTTCCCTTCCTTTCATTCTTTCTTTTGTTCTTTTCCCTTTATTCTCTTCCTTCGTTTCTTTCTTTCTTTTTTTCTTTCTTCCTCTCTCTTCAGAAAGTGATTCAGCAGGAACATGCCTAAAGGTGCTCAGAGGATCCTGGGGCGCTGTGATTGAACTCGGAGTCTCCCATATGCTGTGCCTGTGCTCTGCCACAGCCCTGGGCCCTCTTTTCAAGGGGACACTGCAGGATCCTGTTGCTTTGAGATTGTAAAACACAGAGTCCTGGCTGGAGAGATAGTATAGGGGTTAAGGTGCTTGCCTTACATATGGCTGACTCCAGTTCAATCCCCTAAGAACTATTAGGAGTGAACCCTGAGCACACCCCCAGGAGTTACCCCTGAGCACTGCTGAGTATACCCCCAAGGAAACAAAATCAAATACAAAAGCATAGCCTATTTATCACCTAAGAAACATTTTTTTTTCTTTTTTGAGGACTTTGCCAGGGCTGGAGCGATAGCACAGCGGGTAGGGCATCTGCCTTGCACGCAGCCAACATGGCTGACCCGAGTTCGATTCCTCCGCCCCTCTCGGAGAGCCCGGCAAGCTACCGAGAGTATTTGATATGCCAGACACAGTAACAACAAAATCTCCAATGGAGACGTTACTGGGCCCGCTCGAGCAAATCGACGATCAACGGGAGGGCCTTTACCTTTACCTTTGCCTGTGCCAGGCTCCCTGTCAGCCCTTGGGTGCGAGGGTAAAGGGGAAACCAAGTCTGCTGCCCCAGCTCAGGACACGGGGCTGGGGTTGAGGGGAGGAGAGGGAGAGCAGTTTTGGCCAGTCCTGCAGGTTGGAAGCTGGGAGCTAACTGTGCTTCCTTCTCCACAGAGAAGCCATGCGGAGACCCGCCCTCCTTCCCACACACCATCCTGCAGGGACGAACGGGCCTGGAGATGGGGGACGAGCTGCTGTACGTGTGCGCACCGGGCCACGTCACAGGCCGCCGAGAGACCGCCTTCACCTTGCTGTGCAACAGCTGTGGCGAGTGGTACGGCCTGGCGCAGGCCTGCGGGAAAGGTAAGAGCCTTGTGAAGGCCCCTGGTCACAGAGCCTTTGCCCTGAGCTGAGCTCAGAGGCAGCCACGCTCCTTCTGGGGTGTCTCTGTCGCACTTCTCAGCTGTCCACCCACCTCTGCAGTCTCAGCTGGGTTAGCCAAAGCCAATCTTCTCTGTGACCCCGAGTAATTTCCCACCTCATTTCCCTGGCAGCCCCATGCACACAGCCTCGCGGGGTCCCAAGAGAAAGTGCTTGATGGAGCCAAACATGATGCTCCTGAAACTGCTCCCTGACCTCATTGGAAACACTCATCGCTACCCTCTGCCAGGGCCTCCTACCTTCCTACTACACCACCGCCCCCCCTCCCACCCACCCTCCCGCCCCAACACTCAGCCTCTGGTTCCCAGTGCTGACTCCAGCACCACCAGGTGACACAGTGGGACTCAGTTTGCCTGCCAGTTCCCTGGGATCGGAGACAGCACTTGGTATTGTCTGGTCTGTGTTGTTGCCTGTGATGTGCTGACTTCCCTGCTTGGATACCATCTACCATGTGAACATTCCACCCTTTATTTCTTCCACCTGGAATGGACAATGACTTGTTGCCAGCTGGTGCCCGTACAATGCAGCTCTGCCCTACCTGTTGGTCGCTTGTCTGTGGTAACTGTAGAACAAATCTCTCATTTGGAGCATGGGGGTGGGAGGTTCTGCATTGGTGGCACTGCGGGAGCACTGAGGCATCTCTGGACAGTTCCCTCTGTCCCAGAAATGTGGGACAGGGCTGACACAGCCTCCTCAGCTACTACAGATTGTGACATTCTGAGGGGCTGAATTGATAGCACAGCGGGTAGGGCCTTGCACGCGGCCAACCGGGTTTCGATTCCCTGCATCCCTTATGGTCTCCCGAGCACCTCCAGGGGTAATTCCTGAGTGCATGAGCCAGAAGTAACCCCTGTGCATCGTCAGGTGTGACCCAAAAAGAAACAAAACAAAAAAACAAACAAACCCAAAAAAACAAACAAAACTCAAGTAGATAAAGAAAATGATATATATGTAGATAAGGAAAATGTCGATAAGGAAAATGAGATATAAAAACCCTGATTTCTCCTCAATAACACATCTGCTGAAGTGTTGACTCCTTTTTCTAATCAACTTGATTTTTGTCACTTTCATAAGCTAGGATTTCTTTCTTAGAAAAACTTTCCTTTTTGGTTTTGTTTGTTTGGGGGGGTCACACCCTGGCTGTGTTTAGGAATCATTCCTGACTCTGCACCTAGGGATCAGTCCTAGAAGGACTTGGAAGGCAATAAGGGGGGGCAGAGGATAGCCCCTAGGCCGCCTACATACAAGGCAAGCAGCTGACCTGCTGTCCTGTCGCTCCCATCCTTACATACTGTAGCACTGTAGCACTGTCCTCCCGTTGTTCATCAATTTGCTTGAGCGAGCACCAGTAACGTCTCACAACAAATTGTGAGACTTAACTGTTACTGTTTTTGGCATATCAAATACATCATGAGGAGCTTGCCAGGCTTTGCCATGAGGGCTAGATACTCTCGGTAGCTTGCCGGGCTTTCAGAGAGGGGCAGAGGAATCGGCTGGAGCGATAGCACAGTGGGCAGGGCATTTGCCTTGCATGCGGCCGATCCTCATATACAACTTTCTTAATTCACGTGTTGAAAAAAAAAATTTAGGGTGACCCACGCTGTGCTCAGGAGGCCTGGGGGGCCCTTCCCGTGACTTATGCCCAATTAGGAGTGTGACTTGATGTGAAGAGCTGAGGACATGGTCAAGCTCTGTGGTGCCAGCCCGCCCCCCAACCCCACCCAGCAGAGCTCAGGGCATCCAGGCCACACCTGGCCATGCTGGGGGGCCTCTAGGCCTGTACCAGGGGAACATGTGGTGCTTGAATTGAAACTGGCCACGCGCATGGCATAAACCTTATCCCCCTATACTATCTCTCAGACCTGCAAAAAATTTTTTTAATATCCTATGGCTTTTTTTTCCCCTCTTAAGTGTCCTTTGACGAATGATCAGGTTGCTTTTTTTTTTCTTCTTTGCTTTTTGGGTCACACCTGGTGATGCACAGGGGTTACTCCTGGCTCTGCACTCAGGAATTACTCCTGGCAGTGCTCAGGGGACCATATGGGATGCTGGGAATCGAACCCATGTCAGCCACGTGCTAAGCAAATGCCCTACCTGCTGTGCTATCGCTCCAGCCCCCAAATTTTTTTTTCTAAAGCAACCTGAGGGGCTAGAGAGATAGCACAATGGGTAGGGCATTTGCCTTGCACGCAGCCGACCCGGGGTTCAATTCCCAGCATCCCATGTGGTCCCCTGAGCATCTCCAGGAATAATTCCTGAGTGCAGAGCCAGGAGTAACCCCTGTGCATCGTCAGGTGTGACTCAAAAAGCAAAAAAAAAAAAAAAATTTGTTTATTTCACTACTTCCCAAATTCTCTGCCAACCATTAAAAATATTCTGCCTAGTGACTGACACACTTTAGTAAAAATGAATCCATACAAAAATAAAATAAACAAAGATTCTACAAACGAAAACAATATTTTGTTAAATTAAATAGACAAAATGTCCTGCCAAAAGGTCACAAAAGCTTCTAAAAACCCTTTCTCATGATGTATCTGTATGTACGCTTTGCTGCATACCCATAACAGAGAGCTATAAGCTGGGACAAGTTCTGGGAGCAACCTGAATCCTTCAATTGCATTTTCCTCAACTTTCCTCTGTTGTGGCTGCCTTGTGGCAGGCAGGAATGTTTTGCCAATTCTGGTCTTTCACCTGTTGCCGAAATCAGGCCTAAGCCTCCAGCTTCCTGTTTGTTGCCTGTTGTCACTTCCTAAAGGACCCAGGGTCTCCAGGAGGAGGTTAGGAGCTGACTTGCCTCCTGAAGTCACACCCCTCAGCCAAGGGCACTGTTTACTGGCCCTGGCAGAATGGGGACTAAATGCAGGGTTTGTGTGTCTGAAATGGTGTTTATTTTCTCACTGCAAGGCAGAGGCTGTCCAAGCTCTCAGCTGCTGGGTAGGAATTTGGGCATCGACACTTGGCTGGGGACACAAACAGCCACAGTTGGTTTTTTATTTATTTATTTATTTTTAACTCTCGAGATTTAACACTCAGAGTACCTGTGCCATTAGAAGTGTGTGTGTGTGTGTGTGTGTGTGTGTGTGTGTGTGTGTGTGTGGATGTGTGTGTGGGTGTGTGTGTGGGTGTGTTACAAGAATAACTTCCCCAGGAATTTCACTACCTTTTGCACATTCTTTTATCCAAGGTGCTTCAGCTTTCTCTGATTAGAGAATTGCCTCATCGCGAAGAAGAACCATCTTAGGAGAACGGGCCAAACACAGGTTTTGAAGTTGGGCTGTGTGGGTTGGATGACAAGTCTTCCTTGTACCAGCCTACTGACCACTTATTTTCCTTCTTCCATACCCCTGCATTCATCAGGGCCTCGGTGCTGTGTATGTCGAGCAAACTGCCCAGCCCTCACTAGAGGACCCTCTAGTAAACCAGATGCTTCCTTCTAACACCAGAGACAGGCTCTGGGGTTTTAGATGTGATTAGAAGGGGAAGCAAGGTGAAACTCTAAAGGAAGAAGGTGTTTCCAAATGGAATGCTCAGGGAACCTGGTGGCTGCAGAAACCAAACCAGGGAAGGCTAAAGAGTGTCACAGTGTAAGAAGGTTCTGGAGGTCTTGTACTTTCCACATATCTTTGGGGAGTGAGCCGCTCCTGAGTCCTACATCAAGGTGTTCCAGAATGCAGAGGAGTGAAGAAGAGGGCCACAATAGACCCTCATTCTGGAGGTTCTGCTGATCCTGAAGAGGAGGAAGCAAGAGGCCAAGGGTCAGGAGATCAGAATGGTTGAGGGGTTGAACATTTTGTTTGCCTGCTTATTTTTGTTGTTTAAGGTAGCAAGTACTTGAGTTTATTGCAATGACAAGGAGAAAGACTGAAGAGAAGGGAAAACTGAGAAGTTACTCATGTGAAATGAAAGGGAAGCTGATCATCTGCGTCAGCCCACCTGGGCTTTTTGGTTTGGCATTGGTTTGTTTGTTGTTGGTGGTTTTTGTTTTGTTTTCTTTTTGTTTTGTTTTGTTTGCTTTCTAGGTCACACCTGGCAGTGCTCAGGGGTTGCTCCTAGCTCTGCATTCAGGAATTATTCCTGACCATCCCAGGTAGGGTGGGGGTGGGGGTGGGGGAGCATATGGGATGTCTGGAATTGAACCCCAGGTAGACAAGGCAAACACCCTACCCTCTATACTATCCATTGTCCCCCACCTGGGCTTTTTGAAGGTACATCGCTTCAAAGGGTACCTGTGACAGGGTCAGGGCTGAATAAAGGCTCATTTATTTCCCCTTCAAGGAAAGGAACTCACTAAGGAACCTCGCACCCCGTCGTAAGGCATCTACAGGCTTGTGTGCCTGCTCCCTTATGGGAGTGGTCCTGGCTCTGGGTCCTGCGGCAAATCATGAAAGGCAATCTGGCATAGCCCGCCTGGTCCCAGGCGAGTAGTCAGCATTGGCCAGCGGGCGTCTCAGATTCTGGAGAACGGCGGCCATGCTTCCGGAGGCTGCTGTGCACGTGGCCCCAGGACTGGACAGAGATCCAGGCTGCAGAAGACTGGGACACTCCAGCATGTGGCTCCAAGAGCCGTCTGGATCATGGTGCCAAAAGCCACACTCACCCAAAATGCCTCTGTCCCCTGTGCCGTGGAGCCCTCACGCCCCTCCTGAGAGTTTCACGCTCTCATCACAAGCCTCAGAGAAGTGGCCAGCTCCTGTTTGCCCCTGGGAGAAGTGAGGAAGAGAACAGTCTGCTCATGTCATGGAGCCAGAGGGGAGTCAGGCAGGATGTGAAAATCCACCTCAACACCATTCTCACACCTGTGTACTTCTTCAGGGGTCACTCACTTAGGGGTTCCCCAATGCAGGACACTGGGGCACAGGTCCCCCATGCAAGCCCTCAGCAAGCTCCTTCATTTTTTTTCCTCCTCTCTAAAGCCTTTTATT